AACATATGGAATGCTTGTTTGAAAAGCGTACGATCATCTTCGCACCATTCTTCAGTTATCAAACGTCGTCTTTTGACTTTTTCTCTTGCTACATCAAAATCGAAGTTCGACTTTTGCAAAATATACAATGCCTAAACAAAGGTTGAATTAGTGTAAAGTTTGTGTAACTGAAGAGTAGATTCTTTCCTTGATAGAATAATACAGCAATTAAAACCTCAACTTCAAAAAACTCCACTTCTCAAGAAGACATGCAGAAATCATAGGTACAGAGAACAATGAATAGTTTTTATAAGTGTAATATTACTATAGGCGGGAATATGGAACTGCAGGTAGAACTTAACAATAGAGTTTGAGAAAACTTTTAATATATCAAGCGTAACAATATCGCTTTCCATAAATTAATACTTACTCTGTCATACGTGAGTTTGTAAACACCAATGGCATCCTCACAGTATTCCATAAGTTTTGTTTCGTCCAGATCATTTGGTGCACGCCACATAACCTGAGAGTTTGACTCACTGTTCAGTTCAAATGATCCCCAAATTGAGATACTTACATATTCTCTCTCGTCTTCCTCTTCTGACAACTGGGGAGGAACCTGATTGTCTTTGTGTGACTCATCTACACGCGCTTGGAAGTCATCACCAACATTGATTTTACGATCAGCATTGCTCATCATCGCTGAAACATCTAAATCTCTACAATATAATCTTACATCTTTGTGAGAGCTCCGCTACGGACCCTTGAAATCGCCTTCCATATCATCGTCCTTTTCTTCTTCATCAATTTCGTCGTCAGTTTCATTCCGCTTAGCTCTTGAACGTCTGGATCTTTTCGTTGGGGACTTCTATAAAATAGTATAGTTATCAATTAATACTAACAAATGACCAACTGATTACTTTAATTTTTGTAAAAATCGACCAAAAAGCATAATACCTTCGGCGATGAGTCTCCGTTAGACTGTAATTTATCTTCCGTGTCTGTATGTTCTGCATGCGGAACATCATTTGATGTTTCCTCCTTCATTTCATGGGAATGAGCAAGACTCTAGAATATACATTGGGACTGCCATTACTGAGAGGAAGAAAAAAAACCATACATCTATGAAATTTGATAGGTGATTAATTGATGAAGCGAAAATTAGATGAAATTAGATAGAGTGATAGAGAAAACCACAAAGAGATTTATCGGGAAAAAAATAGAAGAAAACGTCAATCATTGTACAGGTGCTTGATGTAATTGGAGCAACATATATTTTCAAGCAGTTGCTACTCTGATATAGAAAATTTTGAAAAATAGTAAGGTTTCTTTAAGAGAAAACCAAAAACAATTATTGGACAAACTCACTCATTGGTTAGCAACCCAAATTTAAAGAACAAAATCTGTCTTAACTGTGACAGAAGTTAGTAAACTCACCGTTTCTGAATGGGCATCCGAGTGTAGCTCCGAAGTGGCGTTGGAAGGCGCATCCATCTCTACCTCGTGATCCAATATGGACTCATCAATCTCCTCATCAGCTGCCAGAGCT